TCTTGCCGGTCTCATGGGAAAGAGATGCGAGCCGATGGCAATTTCATTGTTCGATTTCAGCACGTTGCATTTGCCGGGCAAAAACGACAATGCTGGAGGGTTCCAGATTCTTTTCATTGCTGTCGCCTCGGGCCAGATTCGGGTGATGTCGCCAGAGCCTCCTATCAGCAACAGGCCTGCATTTAGTCAACGGAGGTGTGCATCGCAAGAGGCCAGGAGCATGGTTCTAGTTTCCGGTCTTTGTTGGTTCTTCTCTTGCACGTCTGTTTTTCCCCAGTGCTTTTGGTTTTCCTCCTTGATTGGTACGGTTCATTTTGGATACCGGATGCCGTTTCTTGTTCCCGTGACGTGTGTTCTAAGGCATGCGCGCGGTCAACCTCTCTGGTGCTGGTCTTTCTGACTGGCAGCCGCTTGGACAAAAATCGCCCAAAGTCCATGCCCTTTGAAACAAAGTGATCATCCTAACAACATGTGAGCCACAATCAAAACCCGGGTAGATGAAGGTTAGTAAGGGACGATCCCAACCATAAATAGCTGCGGCCGCTTTCTTAATCCTGTACATGGTTCTGGGTAGTGTAATTGTCAACCCCTCACATTTAGCACATTTCCCTTTGTATAGCTTTCCATCCTTTCTCCTGTGCTCACCCAAGTTGGCCCAGGGCAGAGTCCTTCTTTTGAAATGCGCTGGTTTGTGAATTGGAGAACTCCACCATGGGGCGGTTTGCCTTTGATTTCCCTTTCAGCCAGCCCTTTTTCCGCAAGGTCGATGAGCACCGGTTGGTTTTCTATCCCCTCCATCATCGACATCAGCGCCACCCCTGCCTACGTGTCCGTACCTATCTTGCATGGCCAGGCTGGGAATTCAGTTGGCACAGCGAACACCCCAGACTCACTTGCCGAGGGGATGCCCCCAAACCAGACAGCTCGCCATGCATTCGAGGGAGGGGGGTGAGACACCACATGTGCTTGTTCCAAGGACCGGTTCCTGTACTTGCGGAAGGGATGGTCAGTACTCTCTTTGCGTTTTTAGGCAAAATCAAGGTTCCTAAGGGAGCCATCACCATTGCCCACATAGAAACAGTGGAGCCCCAACAGCTGTTCTTCAATTTGGTTTCGCTGTGAACTCCATTCCAAAAGCAGGGTTGGGGGCCCGTGAATGCTGACACTCCAACATAATCCAATAGATTGGCACTGTCACCCAGTTCCTCCGGAGGGAGTGAAGAGAGAGAGGTGTGCGTCCTTGCATGAGGGAACCCTCGGCGGAAACCGAAGCCACCCATCTTGGGGTTCCTTATTTTGAGACAAACCCAAAGAGCGAGAGAAAGAGAGAGAGAGAGAGAGAGAGAGAGAGCCGCAGAGTGTCCTGCGGCTCTTGCAGGCTGTCCGGCTGGTGACAGATCAGAACTGCCGCTTGCCGCAAAGATCACCTGACCAAAAGGAAGCTGCCTAGACTCTTCATGACCCTTTAAACATGGGTCCATGATCAACCATTTTTAAGGGTCAGCAGGAGACTCCAGGTGATGTCAAACTGGCCCAGACGTTTCAAGCGGCAAAATCGTAGCGTCGAAAAAAGGGGCCGCGAAGGTCCCCATGCGACTCTTCCGACCGTTTTTGGTCGGCTGCTGTTTGGGCTTAGAACCATGGGTTCCCGCAAAAATATCTTCCTAAACAAAAACCTATTTACCCTGTTGGCTTGAAACGGAATCTACCACTACTGGAACTATGTTCATTTTTTCCAGGGGACTTGGAGCAAATGGAGGAGAGGGTTTTTGGGTTTGTCCAACCAGGCGCTTCCCGACAAAACGACAAAAACATGCCGCTGCTTGAGGCGTGGATGCCGCAAGCCAGAAGGAGAAAGGGCTGAACTTTTGCATCCTCCGCTCCGCCCAGAAAGAGGCGGGGTCTGGTCAACAAAATTCCCTCAAGGGATCCATGTGGCTGTGGTTGTCAAAACCAATGGTACCCGTTTTGGGGGTTTTCGGTGCACCACCCATTCTAGTCTATTTTAGTGGGGATTGGGATGTTCACTGGGGGTACGGGACTTTGACCCATGGCCGCATGTTGAGCCACAAACAAAACCCGGGTAGATGAAGGTTAGTCAGGGGCAATCCCAACCATAAATAGCTGCGGCCGCCTTCGTAATTCTTCACATTGTTCTGGGTAGACCATTTTAATGCCGGGTTTTGATTGTGACTCATGAAGGCCAGTTCAGAGATCAGCTTGTACAGGATCCCTTTGCAAAACAGGTGGGTTTGTAGGAGTACTCTTTCCAGGAAACCTGATACAACATCTGAGCGCCTTTTGACGGCATGCGCTGGCATGGTGTGCATGGATGCATTGGATGCTTGAAAGTCAACGATTTTGACTACAGGCTTAGACACAAATGACCTCACCAAACAGTTGTGCTGTTGCACAACAAGCGCCAGGACTTTCGCATGTGAATTCATTTGCCGTCTGCCCTGCAGGACCAATTGTGCGCCACCCACTTCGAATCCCACGACATGACAAGACTGGGCTGCGGGTGGGGGACAGGTCACAGCTGTTTCGAGAAGCTGCACGTCTTCCGCTTCGGCAATTTGGGGATTGAACATGTGCAACATAAACTGGGTGCCCCATTGTTTACATTGAGTACCTACCCAAGATCCCTGTGATTCGCACTGAGCTCGAAATGCCGCCTTGACCCTGGATCAGATTCTGGGCGCGCTCTGGACCTTTGCAGGGCAACAAGGAAGAGTCAAACAAGTGCCGGTTTTTCGTTTTTCTTTCTCGTCAAGAACATCTCCCTTTGCAGCAAAACCTTTGACTCAGGGAAGCTGTCCTTGAAGCCAGAGACACCGTTTCTTTTCCGCAAGCCCCGGCGTCAGGAGAGGCCCTGGCGGCGAAAGTGACTGGATCCCCGTTGCCCGTGAAGACCGTGATCTTGGCCGCTCGGAGCCTTTGTGACGCTTACTGTTTGAAGCCTCCAGGCGTTGCTCCCAAGACCTTGAACATGGCCTGGTTGGGTTTCCACCAAAGAAAGTTGTGAAGCACAAATTTAAGAATAATAATAAGAAGAAGAATAAACAAGCCCAGTGCTTCCTGCCAGTCACCAAGTTAATAGTATTTACCTTCATGGTTTCGGTTTGGGAAACCCAAAGCAGTGCGTCCTGTCATTTACCAGTGTAACCAAGGAAACCACCCGAGGTAAACCCCAGGTAAAACTCCCTGGCTGCCTTTGGCTTGCCCACTGCGCTTCATGTTTTTTCAGGGTCCCTTCCCTCGCTCCAAACCAGTTGGTTTTTGGGTCTTTTTCTGGCTTCTCCCTAGGTGCTAGGTGGGTGTCTCCTCTGCTAGGGGAGACTTCTTTTTAAAAGGACATACAGGGAGTTTTACCTCTGGGGTTTACCTCGGGTGGTTTCCCTTGGTTACACTGGTAAATGGCAGGACGCACTGTTGGTTGTTCACAACCTGTTTTGGGTTTCTGAAACGGGGGCCATGAGGTTATACTGGTAACTTGGTGACTGTCAGGAAGCACTGGGCTAGTTTTCCACAACTTCTTTGCTTGCTGGAAACCCAAACAGAAGTGTAGTAGCTTCTTCCTAGGTGCTAGGTGGGTTTTTCCTCTGCTAGGGGAGGCCGTTCTTTTGTTTTTCCAGGGACGTGTACAGTAGAAACCTTGCAAGACTCAGGTTGATCAAGAGGACTTCATAGCCTGGCTGTGTGACTGTCCTGCCGGAAGGCCGGCCAACGGGGGGTCAGCGCGGAAACGCGGGAGCTAAAGCCATGCTTATCTTCAAGGTTCCCAGCCGTCCGATTTCTTAGGCTTTTAGGCTTTTAGTTGGTTTAGTGGCTGGGTTTTCATGTAACTCATCAAAAGTTAAACACTTTTAGCAGGGGATCTGAGGACAGCCCAGTTAAAAGCGACTCACGTATGGCCAACAGCGTGTTTCCACGACCAAATCGTCTGCCCGTTTCGGGGCCCTGGCCTTGGGAGTTGGTGCATTGGTGCCCTTTTGGTTGTCTTTTTATGGAAACCAACAGCAAGCCGCCCCTTCGTGTGTTTTTGTTTGGGGGGGGCACTTTACATCACCCCTTTCAACCATGGGTTTAGCCACGATTGGTTGAACAACCTGGTTTTGCGGTCCCAAAAGGGACAACACAGGGAGACCAACATCCCACATGGCCCAGGTGTCCTTTGGATTTCTCAACCAAACCAAGCTGACAAAGGCCCCAACCCAACAAGAATCACACGCCAGGCATGGAAAGCTCAGATTCTAAGAGACATTAGGGGACCACCAGGAGAGAGTCTCAAAACCTTATTCGGCCTAAGACTCCTTCAGACCCTGGTTGTGATTGTAGCACAAGTGGTTCGAGTGGACCCCGAATTTCGATGTCTTAGCACAAGTGGTGGACCCCGAACATTTTGATGTTCATATCGCCATCCCTTTTGCTCCAGATTTTCCACCGCAGGTTCGGGACCAACGGCTCCCACTGCGAGATCTGCCCTCTGAACCACTACTGCCCCGCCGCGGGGAACGACACCAGGGCCCGGAACTTTCGGGCCTCGCCCTGCCCGCCCGGCGCAGGCGCCAGACGGCAGAGGGCTGGAAGATGGCCCCCACCCAACAAAAAACCACCGCGACAGACGGAGAAAAACGCGAATGGAAGGGGGGGGGGGGGGGGAAGGGGAAAAAGCGCATTCTTTGAAGAGGAGCACCATTTTTTACACTGGTGTGGCTGTTTCTCAAAATGGTGGACCGTTGTTTCTCCCCACTTTCTGGAGGCTTGGGGTGGTTTTGGGGTGGGAAGCATCTTGGCGGGCATGCCCTCGTGCGTTTGATGTTGTACGTTTTGATCACCCTTTTTATTTGCGAACAAGGGACTAGTGCCATTTATTGTTTACCTCCGTGGAAATTCCAATGTGTACTTATTTCTTGTAGGTTGTGAACTTGACCCTAAAATTACATATGTTTCCAGAAAACGCCAAAATTGATGAGTTTCTGCACTTTAGGGGCATCAGAGCACTTGCGGTTTGAAGACAGTGACCTTGCGGCATTTTGCAGCCTTTGGGCCCTGCGTGGGACGCATCCCTTTTTCAGGCAGGATTTGCGCGATGCATCAGGGCATCAAGAGATCAAGGCATCAAGCCATCATATTGCGGCGGATGCCCATAGTCGTAGATCTGAAGCATGACATTTCCCAGCACCAAAATGCGCAAAATCTACGCAAATTCGTGAGGACCCTTGCTACAACTGCTTAAGACCGGTATCGATTCATTTTGCCGCGCCGACTTTTGCCCGCACAACACCCGCAAAAACCCGCACAACGCCCGCAAAACCCGCACACGCCCGCAAATCCCCAAATCTCCTTTTTGGGGTATATCAAAAATTTTCAAATCAGCCTATGGCGCGGCCAATTCAACAAATTAGTGGGTGGCTACTTCAACAAATTAGCCTTGGGCGACGCCGAGGCCTCGCCCAAACTTGGAACACAATGCACATATGCATGGGCCAGTCCCGAGTTCAGTGAGAACCGGGTGGGCTGCAGATTGATAAGGATGTTCAGCAGGAAGCGCGCATCAGAAGGTGTCAGTGCAAAGGCGCGTGCAGGGAAGGGCGCGAGGGGCAACAGAAACATGGCGCGACTAGATTTCCTGAAGCTCGCCTAGATTTTCCAAAAAACGACGAGGAATCCACCAGAACGCCTCAACTTCGAAAACGACAAGGCATAAGTGCGCAAAGGAATGTCCAGATCGGTGTGAAAGCATTGAACATAGGGCAATGTCAGTGTGCTCCATCACTCCGAGACAACGGTTGCTTCCTTTTTTTGGCAAATTCGAAGGAGCTGTGGAGGCAAAACAAATGTTGAATGTCCCTTAGGTAGCAACTTGCCCAAATTCAATCTTGCATCTTAAAGGTTACAGAATCTGTAATTGAAGCATGTCTTCGGCACCCCTGGTTCAACACCAGGGCAGCCAAAGAAGAAGAGGCCACGCAGGTAGATCATGTCAGACTCATTTCTATTCCCATTTGTAGAGACTGCAGACGTGAACCCATGCACGTACATATGGGTTTGTCTTAAAATTGAGGGACAGCCAAATGGGTGCTCCCTTTTGAACCCCTTGGAGGCCCAAACAAGGCTCTCAGAAATGACGGCCATCTATGCAAGTATTTATGAATGTATATATATATATATATATATATATTAGTAATACATATATAGTATGTATGCCAGACCATGCCTGATACCTGAGCTCAGATGGCCCAACAGAAGCAAACGGGTTTCAAGCCACAAAGGTCGCTGGAGGGAACGCCATGAGGCCGCATGCCCTTGCAAATCTTTACCATGTGTGCTTGCATCGCATACATAGACTTGTGATTGTACGGAAGGACTTGAGGATTCGTTGCATGTGGCACTTCAGTCATTGTTCAGTTAATGAAGACAAAGTCAGGGTTGGATCAAGGGGTTTATCCCCAGTTGTGATACAAGGGAATTCCCTCTTTATGTGGGGGGGGAGTCTTTGCGAGACCCTTTTCGTCCCCAGTTCTGTGATACAAGGGAATTCCCTCTTTATGTGGGGGGGGAGTCTTTGGGAGACCCTTTTTGTTGTATCACAGAAGTGGATTCCAATTTTCCACAGCCCTGAGACAAAGGGAGCTGCAAACCTTTCCGCGCTCGCAGGCACTACGGGAATAGGCCTCACTAGCATCAAGCAGTGTGACACCTGGCGGCTTATTGGGAGCCTCAGACATGGGCAAAATCGCAGTCTAAGATGGTGTCCACTATCCCCAAAACCACCCCAGGCATTCAATGGTATACATAAATATATGTAGATATATATGCTGCTATCATATAGCCACTGCTTTCAAGGCTATATACCTTGTTTCTCCTGTGAGTAGTGGTTTGGGGGTAGTGGACACCATAATAAAAAAAAACCAGTGGCAGTTCAAGTTGCCAAGGAATGCTTGCCCGGCTTCTATACTGTCAAGAGCACGACAGACCCAGGCCCGGCACTGGCATGCACATTGGTATCCAAATCAGACACACCCATACCGGCGCCCACAATCGATTCCCAGAAGGGCCAGTTAGTAGGTGGTTCTACCATCTGGTTTATTAGAGATATTCCCATCTTAGTGGACCCGCAAGTCAATGGGTTTGGTTTGCTGCTCGCTTGTCGTGAAACTGAAAGCTGCCTCGCGGGGGTTATGAACCTGGGCCACTTTGTAAAGGGGACTAGATGAACCGGGGATCCGGATCCCTGCACTCATGCATCCTCCTTCATTGAGGGTATTTCTTTTTTAGGGGTCATGGAAGCCTCCCCCCCGCCCCCTCCCCCTCCTCCCCCTCCTCCCCCTCCTCCCCCTCCTCTCCTCTCCCCCCTTTCCCCCCCCCCCCCTCCCGCCCCTTTCCCCTCGACTCCTGGGAGTTGGAGTTGAGGGTTTCCGGTCTAGGGCTTGGTGGGGGTCGGGCTAGGGTTTTAGGGGGTTTGGGGCTGTGGGTTTAGGGTTAGGGTTTGGATTTTAGGGTTTGGGGTCCCCCGCAAAAACATGTTTTTTGCCTTTGACCCACAAAAAGGTGGAAAGGCAGAAAAAAACGGGTCCATTGGGGGTCCAGGCCCCTGCAAAGGTTGACCTTTTGCAGTGGTTTTAACGGAAAACCTATGGGACTACCACCCAATACTGGGGCAAACTCTCCCGGCACATGCCGTTTTGGGAACGGGTCTCCATGAAGAAGGAAACATGGACTAAAACCTGCAGTCTCCTGGTTTAATTTTGACCCATACCCAAAGGGCTCATTTGGGGAGGAGGGCACATGCCCTTCAGTGCCTTTGTTATGGGCAATCTGACGAAGCTTTTGCCACTTTCTGCGACACTAAGGGAGTCCAATTCACTAAAGCAGTCACGGGATACCGGGGCTTCATTTGGGGCACCTATTTTGACCCCCAGTCAGACCAACCCAAAGAGACCTTGCTAAATTGAAGGTTAAAGATCAACTCTCAGATGCCCAGCTGGCGATGGGAACAAATGAATCACCATCTTTTTTTTGGTTGGTTGACTTTTTTTCGGGGGAAATCTTCCCAAAAAAGGACAAAAGGAAGCAACTCACTGGTTGCTACTGGGAGCGGCGCCGCCTGAAGACCAGGTTTTCGAACTCGTTGACGTGGCAAAAGGGAAATAGCTCTCTGACCCCCCTACAACCAATACCCACGGGTTTTTTTCCAATTCAGAGGGTCCAAGTACCTTTTAAGGAGGTACTGAAAGACACCCCTTTTTACACCCCAAAAGCCATCCTTATGAGATACTTGACCAATACCCACGTTTTTTTTTCAGGGTGTCCCACGTGTTTTTTCAGGGTGTCATTCATGCCGGCCCTCTACAAAAGGCAGTCACTTACCCAAACCCAGGACTTCCAAAAACTAGCCTAACAAAAGATGGAATTTGGAGTAGGGGGGGGCTCTTAGGTGGCTTGTGGGAAACAAGCTTTCTTTGTTTTGAAGTTGTGGGGTCTGTAGGTGTGGTGTGTGCGTATTAAACTTGGTCAGGTCGAACAAGATAAAATCTGTGATACCCCAATGGGATTCCCACCCCTGTATCTACTTGGTGACTTTACTCGGCCAGACTTAGATCCCCTGCAAAAAAGTTGATGTTTTGGGGGTTAAAAGGCCCACAAGGTCAGAAGGTCAAAAGGTCGCTAAAGTGTGGCAAGGTTTCAAAGGGATTCAGGGCTTCTCACTCCTCACTTCCCGAGTGGATGGTCCAAAAAAAGTCCCGGAACCTTTTGTTGGTCACCCAAATGGTCCAGCCCCAAAAAGTATTTTTTGTAGGTCCTCCAGTAGAGAGGGTAGAATAAGGGTGCCATTTTCTCTGTAGTCTATTTTGTTGGTTGGAACCTTCCCAACCCCACCCCCACCCCCACCCCCACCCCCACCCCCACCCCCACCCCCACCCCCACCCCCACCCCCAACAAGTTGGTAAACGGGCACTACTGGAAGACCTGGAGAAAGTGCAGGAGCTCGGGCAATGAGTCACTGACCCCAGCTGTCCACCAGCTGTCCCACCAGATGCGAATCTCCATTTTGCGAATTTGCGAAACGCCCTGGTCTGCACATGTTTGTGTCGTTTAGGAATCGGACACCCAAAAATGGTCGTCCTTGTGGTTCTCCCTTGAACAGACTCTCCAAAAAGGTGTTCCCCCAAAGAAAGACACACCCCACATGCGTTTAAACTGCCATGACTTGCTTTGGGATTCCAAAAGGAATTGCACTAGGAAGCTGGTTGTTTCACCAGATTTCATTCCTTGGTACCTTCCAAAGAGGTACTGAACGACCCAAGAGCCCCCTTCTAGCCATCCTCAGATGCCTGGAAACCCTCTGGGATCGCATTTACCCATCATATACTTAGGGGACTTATCCAGACATATTTACCATGGCGGTTTGATTTTTTTGGGTTTTTCTAATTTCCCCCCCTCTCCCCCTGCCCTCCCCCCCCTCCCCCTCCCCCCCCCCCCCCCCTCCCCCATGCCCCCCCCCCCCGTTTTTGACCTCCATGGCCGCCGCTTGGCTTCGCGAAGCCGCTTGATAAGCGGCTTCCCTCAGGCGGGTTTCTGTGCAGAAGCTGCCCGCCCGGGGCCTCCAGCTTCAGCTACGGGATGATGGAGTGCCAGGCCGAGCCACTCCAAAAATGTTGGCTTCGTGCTTTTTTTTTGTTGGGGGGGATGGTTGGGCCAATTGGGTTTACCCTCCCCGCCCTGTGGCATTTGTAGGAGGATACCCGGAAGATCAGTTTCTCCTGGAGGGACCTGTCAGTTGCCATGTTAGTGGGTTTAGGTCTTTGATGATGGTATCAACCGTGGAGTTTTGTTGGTACAAGATTGCAATTAGTCTGGGAGCCATTCAGTTCGAGGCTTTTCTTGTTTCTTTTTGAGTTGGTACCAACTTTTGTTTGCTTGAGGGAATGGAAGGACCCCTATAGACCATGCCCTATGCTTTCCTTTAAGGGAATCCCTAGGTTCATTCTCAACAACCTGGGTCACTCCCTACTGAGCACCAGCGTTCTAAAGGAAATCAAGAGGAAAATCCAAATCACGTTTTTTCCCCCCCCCCCCCCCGGGAGGTGGGCACTTGATGCTGGTGACCAAGGGAGAGTGGCAAACCATTTCTGTGGTCATGATGGAATCCGATACACGGGTGTGGGTCAAAACTAAACCAACAGAAATCGGACCGCAGATTTTGGTCCATGTTTCCACTTCCCAGGGCCAGCTTGCGCCATTTTGTGGGTTTACCCTATTTGTGACCACCACAGCCACATGCCAAAGGGGAAGTTCGGCGCTTGCCTGCGAGGCCTGTCAGTTCGGATATCGATCCTACGACTGGCCCAGCGCCTTGGAGTTCCGAGGTTTTCCGTGAGCAAGGGTCGGCCAAACGAAGCGCGCCGGCGCGTGTCTCAAGCTGGGGTCATGAGTTTGGGTTCGGATTCTGGGGGTTATCCAAAGTCAGAAAATGGAATCGGTTGGTTCCCTTTTACCCACCACTTGGGGGGGTGACTTTGATCATGGTGAAATAGTAAGGCCAGTCAAGCGCTCACAGGGTGTGGATGGTGTGGCTCAAACAAAGGACTGGGGAAACGCAGATTTTAGTCGTTGTTTCCTTTTTCGGGTGCAAATTGTGGCACCAATTTTTGAGCCACAGCCAAGAGAGAAGCGCTGTTGAGTAAATGCACTTGCGATCACTGATGTCCCATGTGCAATTTGGGAGGCCGCGAAAGATTCAGTGAGTTTCCCACACACCCTAGGGACTGGCTTATCAACCATGGCTCATTGGGAACCATGAGATTGGGGGGAAGACTTGAGGACTGCAGCCGAGCAACTTCTGCTTCCCTGACTGGCCGCGGTCTTACTAGTTGCATGGGTATGGGTCAAACTTATACCACTAGGGGGGACCGCAGGTTTTAGTCCTAGTTTCCATTTTGGGTACCTACTTTGACCCACACCCACATGCCTGTCCGCATGCTTGGGCTGTCCAAACGACTTGGCCTTGCAAGCTCTTCGGAAGGTTCGGCCTTGGCTTCATGATCGTGCCGGTCTTACAGTGAGCTGTGCATCGCTTCAGCCCGGGAAGGGCACAGGGCCAGTTTGGAGGGGGACGAACATTTGCCCAATTTTTGGGGTTTGTTTCTTACAACCAAAAAGGAGTTGGTGTTTCCTTGCTACACTATCCAGTTCTTATTGCCATCCCATTTCTGTATCCAATTTTCATCCAGTGAAACTGATGCATGGGCATGGGCTTGCCTTTTCCGAGGATACCCTTATTCGGGTTGCTTGAAAAGGGACACCACAGCAAGAGCACCCTATGATTGAGGGTTCCACATCCAATTTAGAGACACTCCATGTATGAGTTTTACTTGGACCCTCAAGTTCCAAACAACACAAATCTGGGGTTGGTTGGCTTGCCGCCAACCCAGTCCAGCACCCTCCGCCGGCTTTTTCCATCTATGGATGTTGGGTCCCGCGACGAGGCTTTGCAGCTGGCTATGATCCAACTGGTCTACAGCACCTGGCGTCATTTCCAAGGCATCCAGCTCTGATTTTGGTTCCGCATTTTTGAACATGGGTACCTGGAGTCTCCATGACCCTTTGAAAATGGGTCAATGACCAACCATTTTTTTGGTTGGCTCAAGTGGGACTGGGACATTTTGTCGTTGTTCTTCGCTTCTGCGTTTGTTCTGTTGATTGGTTGCCCGCGCGTGTCGCGGGTTGCGTTCGGGGAGGGAAACTCGCCATTGCATGGCTGAATTTCTGCGTGAGAGGAACGCGATGGTGGCGTATTCGCCCAGATGTTGACAAGTTTGACATGGGGACTTTTTTCTGAGGTGCATGTTGCCTTGTCGTTGGCTTGTGTTTGTGCCGGCGGTTTGTCTCAATATAGTTTGTAGCACGGGTTAGCCGGCGTGTGTTGGGCTTAGGACCAAGCATTGGCCGTTTTCTCTCCCCTTTTGTGCTCCACCAAATGCATGGTCCGCAGTTCCAGCCTTACACGTGTTTTCCATCTGCTGCTCTAGTATTTTTGGTGAGGGTGAGGCAATTTCCATAAGGCTGGATCCAAGGGAAGATTTTGAGAGGTTGTCAGGATTACTCTTGTGGTTGCTGAGGATGCCACTTTGATCAGTTGTTTGAGGGTACCCCGCATACTGTTTTGAAGGGCGTTTCAAACGGACACTCGGCTGTCCCATTTAGAGACAAACCCGTTTCGGCTTCAAAACAACAAGATCCCCCCCTCTCGGCATTTTTCTGTTTGGGTTTTTGGGACGTTCTGGATCCGCTGGGTTGAAACGCCGGGCACAGTTTGGGTTTCGGCCGTGTTCTTTGCTGGTTTTGTCCTTTGTTTCTTGCGGGTCGCAATTTCACTAAAAAAAAAACAAACGGCTCAGAGCGGCCCGCTCTCCTCTTGCCTTCGGAAGGCCTCGCCATCAACGAGGTGAAGGTACAGCATGGGAAGTGGGTGGTGTCCACCATGGGCAGGCGGGACTCGATCCCTGCGGTCGTCGTTTCTCCTCTCGCGAGGCAGGCGAGGCGAGGCGGGAGTTGTTTTTGGCGAGGGGATGGGTTTTTTTCTCGCGGCATCTGACGCCACAAGATGGTGGTGGTGGGGGGACCTGGGAAAAGAACAACAACTGGACCCCTAGCCCAAGGGTTAGGTCTGTTGGGCAACCAGGACTAAGGGAACAGAGGAATATCCAAGTCAGCGCATGGAGCCTCAAATGGTGCATGCCCAACCTGCCTTGAAGGATTCCATAAGGAGAACCGGGAAGTGAAGCAGCGGGGACTTCTTCGACCCCGTAGGGAATCCCACAAAAGGGTATCACAGACTTCCCTGTTTATGCATACAAAATAGCCTTAGGGATGGAATCCCACCAATTGGTGTCACACCTGGATACTCTGTTTTTCGAGCCCCCACTAAAAAGAAAGATTTGTGTTTCCCCCTTGGTCTCCCTTTAAACTCGGCAAACAACAGAGGGGTACCACTACAAAAACGCCATCTCCCCCACCCCCCGCCCCGGTCCAAAAAACAGAGAAGGTGTTTTCCTCTCGGCTTCTCGATTCTTCACCCACCAACTGGAAGCCTCGACCGCTTTGTTCGCTGCGAGGGGCGGCCCAAAGGTTTTGGTTTCCCTCCTCAGAGGCTCCCGATTGACTTCGGGCTGTCAAACAACCTGGTTTTGAGACCCCCCCACCTCGGGACTCAGAAAAGCGCGGAGCCGGCCGCGTGTCCTTCACGTGGCCTCGACCTAGGCGGGAGCTCTGGATCTTCCCCTGCCTCGAGACCTTCCAAGTGAGCTTTCGGAAAACGGGGAATCCATGGCTGGACGACCCCCAGAAGCCCTACCGAGAACCTCGGCGGAGAATGGGCTTCAATTGTTTCTTTCGTTTCCTGGCGTGGATATCTTGGGCCCTTTTGTCTTTTTTTTAATGTGTGGTTATGTTTTACGTGTTGGGTTGAGTTCATCTGATTGGTTCGGTTTATTTTGGGAGTTGGTGGCCGGAACATGAGTCGGATAGAAGGGACACCAACAAGAAAGTCGCACCAGTTTGGAGGTCCCCAAATTTGTGGCACATACCCAAATCGTAGCCGAAGGCCGAAGGAAGGGAGAAACATTCGAACTCAATCATGCTGGGTGCATTTTGCAACTTTCGGGGGGGTGTTTCCCTTTGAGCCTCCGTTTAGCTCGTGTAAATGCCAGACTCCAGGCAGCAATGCCCTCCACGTCTTCTGGTTCGACTAAGGAACCCTTTGAGGGGTTTGGGAATGAACTGGAGAGGGATCCCCTCAAGGGAAACAAAACCGAAGGTTGGATGGGTCAGTTTGGTGAGATGGATGTGTTGACTTTCTAGCCATGAGTTGCGGTCAAATAAGCTGGCCTCATGTTGGAAGTTCATCGACATGCTGGTTGTGCAGAGAGAGTGGAAGACCTTCACTCAGGTGTCCCTTGTATTCCCCCGCCTCTTGGAGAATTCAAGCACCTTTTGGCCCAATTCGATGTTCTTAGGTTGGACATATCACAATCTTCTGTTACATGTTTTCGGTTGGGCATGATTGGTTTATGGCCTCCGAAACCACAGATTTGCTTGGGGCCAACCCTCTTTGTTTTCTTTTTCATGGCCCAACCCTCTCCACCCCACTCCCCACTCCCCCCCCCAGCGGCCCAGCCGCAAGGTCAGGGCGATCCGCGGGAGCGACCTGCGCCTGGTGCTGCTGCAGGGCGGGGAGGAGATGAAGGCGGAGTCCTCTTGGCCAGGCCGGGCGCTCGGGATCCGCCGGGATCCGACGCCTCTCCAAGCTTCGAGACGCCCAGGGCGGGGCGGGCGGGCGCAAAGGATTTTGCCCAGCAACGGACACTTTTTGCCGAGTTGGACCCCTCGGAAGTTCAGAATTTTTGTGGGGGAAAGGTACCTTTCAGCTTAGGGACACCAAAAGAGCCGACATCCATGTGTGATTTGTGGGGTCCAATCCTAATGATACATACCCATATTAATATGGGAGGTTCAAGTGGACCCCTTGGAGAAAAAGGAAACCCCTGTCCACTCGGGAGGGATTTGTATTTTGAGAACCACCCCCTTAGCTTACAATTTTGGCCATGATAAATCTTTGTTTGAGTTTGACTGGGGGTCTCCCATTTTGAGGCAGACCGCAAGTCTTTGGACCTATGAATCCGGCAGGTATTCTCGAACAATCGCGGAAAAGGGTGGTTAATGGCCAGGATGGGTGAAGACGAGAAATGGGAACCAAGCCGTAGAATTTCGCGTGGCTTATCCTCGTGCTTTGGTCGGTCGGGCTGGGACATTTCGCCCGGGAGATTCGCTGGAAGGTTCGAGTTGGGTGACCTAAGACTCCTGTCACCAGATTGCAGGTCACATGCATTTGTGGATTGAGCACCGACCTGCAACGAAGGAGATCCTCGGGCTTTGCTTGGGGTTTGTCTACCACAATAGAAAGCCCACAAACATGGCCTCCTTTTTCCGTTACGTGCCAAACAAACATTGGAGTTTCCAAAACAAGACACACCTAAAGCTGAGAAAAGCGTTCAAGACAGGCTTGTTCGGAGAAGACGATGACTACGACAGCAGCGAAGTGAGCGAAGAGGGCCAAGCAGTTTGGACTTCACGCGGCTTGGATCGTTGCAGAGCTACTGGTTTTTGGTCAACCCAACCGGAGCAGGATGGACAAAATCCTGCAGTTGGTAGGTGGTTTATGCTAGCTGTAGGGGCTTATCCACCCCAGCTGGTCCAGGTTTTTGACCACCCACCCACAGTAGGCATTGCACCCGCAAAGCCACTTGAGCGCATGTGATCAACTGACACGTAGGACAACCCAATTGTCTCACGTCCTTTTGCGAAAGAGTATTGTTCGTTGCTCATGGTGAAATGTGGGAGCCCTTTTGACAGCAAACGAGTTTGGACATGTCCCAGATTTTAGTCCCCCTCAAGTCAAACCACTTTTTGTGTTTGCACTTGCTCTTGTCGCACAGTGTTTGTTCGACACAATGTGTAGTGCCGAAGAAAGAGAAGGCCCCCCAAAACAGTCAGTGTGTGTGTGCAGTTGGCTGAAACAGATGGCACAATTCCCCCATTTGTGCTCCGCCTTCCCAGTGTCATCTACTTTCACCTTTTTTCTGCATGCATTATCCTTCAGATTCAGCTCATATGGCGAGCGAATTCACCTGGTACAACGAGATCACCTGTGGTCCTTGACTTGAACCCCCCTTTCCTTTCTCGGGCTTTGTACTTACTTGCTGGTCAGGGAATGACCGAGGGTTTTGCAAAGAATCTTGGCATTCCCTAAAGGGCATCATAGGGGATGTAGGGGTCGTTCCCTCATTTGCTGAGAACCATCAAGGAATCCGAGGTTACTTGCTGTTGCTCAGTATGGAATGAGGGAATGACCCATATATAAACCATCCAACTGCTTGTCTCCCTTGAACTTCTGGGTTCATTCCATTTCTCCTTCCCTACGTATCGCACCTGCGCAAGCTCGGAGCAGCGAATCTGCGCGCCTCTTTCCTCCCGTTCCCGTGCGTAGGTATCCGGCTGGACACCTCTCAGGGCTTCATCCGGCTCTCCTGCCCCTTTGCGAGCCCCGGCGAAAGGGAGCTCATTCGCGGTTGGTCTCGCTTTCTCGCGCGTGAGACGAGGGAGGAATGCCGCACCGAAGAGCTTCTTGTTTCGGAGGTCCCTAGAAATACCCCACAAACGGTCATGAATTCAATGGTTTCAGCGTGCGAAATGGATTCGCAACCATCCGTGGTATGTGAGGGCTCCATCCAAGTTGCACACTCGGAACAAGGAGACCAAAAGAAACCCGATGCCATTCAGTGGGTTAGGCCCTAGCGGATGCATAGACGAGTTTAGGCTCGCGGTCGACAGGCTAGCAGGAACCCTCGTTGACTGGCCAGTTTTGGGACCTCTAGATTTGTGAGTATCAGTCCGGGAACCCTCGAACTGGTTTCGGATTCCGTGTGATTGCCCTTACCAGCCCAAAGAGTTCCCACAAAACGACACAAGCCTTGGCCTAGCGATGTGCTCTTTTTGGCAGCGCTTGCATGTGTCACCATAGCCGCTGCAGCCATTTGCTTGAGCTTCTTCATGGTCAGAGCTCGGAATCTGGCCATGGCTCTAAGACTCTGGGAGTCCTTGTCAGGTGGTCTAGAAGCCCCAGGGGAGGACCATCCCTACCGCCTCAAAGGAACCGTTCTTTGGACTCGCACTGTTCGGTGTCAATTGTCAGTCTCAGAGAAGGCTTCTTAAAACAAACAAAGAAAAAAACAAAGAAACAACAGAACTTGTTTATCATGTTACCATTTTTTCACGTCTTTCTTTTGTTTTTTTTTGTTTTTTTGGGGGGGACGGGGGACGGCCTGAGGTGCCTGTGCGGGCGCATCTTGCCAGCTGTGGTGATCTGTCCGCTGCTCTTCTTGGCTTCGGGGATCCTGCTGAAACTGGCAGTCTACAGGCAGATTTGATCCCGGGGGCCAGCGGTGGCCGGTGGATCGATTTTTCTGGGGAGAGAAGTAGGTCAGGTGGCCAGCTGTGGCCAGCTGGGAGTTTTTCTGGGGGAAGAAAGGCAGGTGGTGTTGGGATGTATTCTAGCAGAGCCGCAAAAGAAAGGTGAGAACAGAAGTCTCCAGCTGAAGCGCATGAGGCTTCAGGTTTGCCCACCGGAACAGCAGCACATCCCTAAGGGGAACAGCTCCTTTGCCGTTCTTTGCATGTTTTTTCTTGTTCTTTCATTTCTCAGTTTTTTTTGGTTCTGTTCATTGGTTGCTAGTGGGGGATAGAGGAAACAGCTTCAGTTCTACCACGTGGTTCTTTGGGGTCGGCTCCGAGTTTTCATGGCGTTTTCATTGCGCCAGGAAGATTTGGATTATGCTTGGGAGACTCGGCTGGCAGAAAGCAGGTGTCGTGGCCATGGGTATCAGCCGTAGGATCGATGTTTACGGTTTGGGTGCCGTGCCTTTGTTTTTTTTTGGGGGGGCTCTTGGGAAATTCCGATTCCTATTTTGAGACAAACCCATGAGTTTCAGCATGCCAATGATGTGCTTCGGTCTTCAAAACGCGCTCGCTGGCTTACGTTTGGATGTCAAAATCGGACACAGCAAAGGGGCGGGCCACACATCAGGGTTGGGCAATCCAGGCTAGCCGCCCAAAGGGTTTCAACAGGAGCTTGTTCAAACAAGAGGCATAGGTGTGTGTGTGTGTGTACCGTGGTTTAAACCATAGAATTGAGAGTCAGCAGGCTGTCAAAAGGTCAGCAGGTGCCCGGCCCGACCAAGGCTGCCATTCACGACTGTGATAGCCTCTGCCTCAGTTGTCTGGTGTCTCTAAGGCTTGCTTTCCCATGCTTTTGGGCTGCCGTTCTTTTCAAACACCAGCCCTTTTTTATTCTTGTCTGGAAAGACATGGCTTGAAACCATCGTTTTTGTTTCTCCATAGCAAGCCGCTTTTGCTGGAGTTGGGGTGGCTTTCTGGCAAGGGTTTCTATTCTTTTGGGAAATGAGGAAACAAACCCCATGTGTCAGCTGGAGCTGCCGCTGCGGCAGACCTGCCCTGGCGATGTTGACCCTCTCAGGCGATTTCGGAGCTCTGGGTGACTTTAACAGGGCTCCTTAAAAGATCTCCATTTTGCAACCATTTGAAACATGTTGCTTCTTCAACACCAAAGTAAAGTTGGAAACCACCATTTACAAGTTGCAATGTTCAGGTGTATAATGCATCCGGATCCCTGTTTAAGCATCACCTTTTGGGCCAAGAAGCGAGTGAACTTCTGGTGGGCGCTCGATTTTTTCCGGCCTTCGGCCGGTCGCAGCGAGGCTTTGCTGGTGGTAGCAGGTGCTTATTTCTCAGCACCAGCTCCGGCCTCTCGGCAAATACCCAAGATCCTGAAACGGCTGAATCCCGAGGATGTCCGCCAAGGGATCCGTCCATTCCTGGAGTCTCCGTGACCCTTTAAAATGGGTCAATGACCCCATTGTTTTGGGTAACGACCCCATATTTTAAGGGTCACGGAGACTCCAGGTTCAACTTAACACCCACATGCTCCTAAACCAACCATCAGGTTTACGTTTCTCCGACCCCAGACCGCTAGGCTTCAGCTGCTTCGCTTGGCCGACTGAATCTCTGTCCAATCCAAGTCTCCACTTCGGAGCGTTGTTTATGAAAGGCCCGAATCCATTTGGCGCGACACTGAACGCGCGAGCGTTGCGACCTAACCTACGTTCCGCGCGAGAGAGAAGCCGCTCTCAGGCCATGCACAACAATGTCCTGAATTTCCGGCATTTGCTGCCGCCACCCAAGCTAGTACCACGGGGAGGTGCCCGAGCAGTGAAAGTGGAGAGCCACCTGGCAAGAACGGACGAGCGGGGTTCCCAGTTTTTAGTTTTTCTGATATCCCAAGGTGGACTTACGTGAATTTCCAAATGGGTCTAAGTCCTGGTATAAATACATACTTTTTTAAAATATATGTATATGTATATACTACGACATGTATACACATGTTTTGAGGCGGATACTCTTTGCAGTTTGGTTGAAGGGGACACCAAACAGGACAACCTCCATTTTGGTGGTGCCCTGTTTCCCTCTCTCAGCTGGACGCCGTGTCTTTTTGTTGCCCCAAAAAAAGCACCGGGAGGGGTTCTTCCGTGAGCCCTTGGATGAACTTGGCCACGGGTTGCATGCGAGCCATTTTGGGGTGGATGAACATCCCATTTGCCACCTATGTTGATGTTCACCAGGGTTTCCTGGGTTTTGACCAGCTATTTTGATGTTCACCAGGGGCTTTCTGGGTTTCGACCAGCCACTTGCGCAGAGCAGCTTGAACGGAGAAGCTGGCACAGAGCTGGCATGGAGCAACCTGCGCAAAGAGACTTGCACGGAGTGCGTGCGCGCTCGGTATGGAGCCTGTGCACGTTGTTGGAGCAAGTAGCTCGGTGCAAGTTGCTGTGTGCAGTTTCCTCTGTGCAAGTGCTAGGGTGGCTACCGGGAGCTTGGTAGAGAGCTTGCGTGGATGGTCATGGACCTTCAAGGGGGGGCCATTTGGGGATGGGCCAAAAAAGAGCTGCCTGGAGTCTCCATGACCCTTTAAAAATGGGTCAACGACCCCATTATTTTGGGTAATGACCCCATTTTTGAAGGGTCATGAAGATTCCAGGTGAGCATCAGCCTGCTGAAAACGCGCCCTACCTCCTCGTTGCCCGAGGTCCTGACATGGGAAGCCTTGGGTGTTTGATTCGCCAAGCTGGTAAGTTGTTGGTATCCTTGGTTCTAACGCACTTACAAGTCCCCCTAAGTGGGGTGGCCTGCTACTAGCCGAGGCCATCCAGTTACGAACTTCGCGAATCGAAGATCCCAATAGTCTGGGTGAGCTACAACGACCTCAAACGACCGAATTCACCCCAAATGGTGGTTTATGCGGGGAATGGCCCCCAACCACCACAAGTTTCAGGCTGGTGAAATATTATATTTCACCCAGAGTAGTGAGAGATGCAGGCATCGAGCACCTGCTGAACCACTTCAGATTCTCCATCGGCGATCGGGACATGCTCCCTGGAAGCACTCGCGAGCTGTAAGCTCATAGGTTGGGTACCCTCCCAGCGATTCCATGGGGTTGTGCACAGACCCCTGTAAGACGACTTTCCTCTTGGAAAGGGCCTTTTTGCACGATCCATGGAAGTTGGTGAGAGGCTCGCTTTTTCTCTTGAGGTTTTCAGTGGCTTTTTGGAAACTGCGAGACCCACTTTGAGACCCAAATGAAGGTACTACGTGAACTCCAACATCCTGTTGCCAGTCACGAAGCCCACGCAGCTGTCTTTTGCCGAGCTGGCCGGACCTGTGCAAACCAAGTACTTTGTCAGCGCCACGGCAGCCAACATTCAATGGTGAAAGCCCACGGAAACCCATGATGCAGGCCCTGTTACTCAGGGATCTTATTTGTATTTCACATGATGGAATTGGAGTAACATTTGCAGAAAGGCGCAATGGGGACATGTTTGTCCAAAGTAGGGGCCCTTCTTTGATCCTGGTGGATTTAGTGCCGCATTTCAAAAGAGGTCCAACAGAAGTACATTTTTTTTGACGATGGGTGATGTGGGCACCTCTGAACATTTGTCGCACCTCCCCCCCCCCCCGGCCCTGTGTTCCACAGCCAACAGGGGGCTTGCTGGTCTTTTGGGCTTGTTTCGGCCGTCCGAAGAAGGGGGATTCTGGCAGGCAGGTAGGGTCACTGTCCCATCGGGAGGGGAGTTCCAGGGCACTGAAACGAACATTTTCCCACGTCCTTTGGGGCAGCCGCATAGTTTGACCGTCCCAGTGGATCCAGTTACCACTAAAGTCGCTACCTTCCCAGTGGATCCAGTTGCCACTAACGTATATAGGCAACCATCTATTTTCCTTTTGGTTTCTAAAGAGTTCCCTTGGTTCCCTACTACGGAGGACACTGGAGCGTGGCTTTCGGTCTCGATAAGACCTGAGGCCATTACTGGGGTATCCCCTTTGAGAACTCGATGCAGTCGATCATGAAGCATTCCTGGACCACCGAGCGGGAGAAGTGGCAGTCTGCCGCCTACTGGCACGGCGCTCAGCGGCTCTCAGCGGCCGAGGGTGCGGCCACACGGGGGGGGGAGGAGGCTGCGCCCTCGTCCTTCGGAACATGGGGGAGGACCCATTTGTTTTTCCCCGTGGCCGGTTTTCAGTTGACAAGAAGTAAACAGGACGTTTCGAGGGGTTGGGAAGTGCTTGGTGCAAGGATTCGAAACCAAACCAACCCGTCCCACAGTCGGCAGACACATTTTTGTGGATTTACACCCGTAGAATATAAAATAGTACTGAAAGATTACGAAGAAAGGACCAACAGGGAGAAAAGGCGCATCCAAACCGTTTCTTGAGACCTGGAAGCAAGTGATTCCAAGGTGCTGCTCATTCAGCAACAACCAGTGGAGCATCGCCGAAGAGCTCGGGACACTTGGCACTATTCACAATAATATCAACATTTGGAGCCAAACTTGGATGTGAAAACTCAGGTAATTAGGTTGTAACATCATGGTAATATTCGATGACCGGCATATCACATAGCCGGGGTTGGCTGTCTAAGCAGGGTTGCCCTTCTGCCGAGTTTTCGCGAACTGGGCGCGCCAACCGCGCGCCAAGTGCCCGGACTCGCTGGATCCAAGGAACGGAGACATCGCGCAGTCTTCGTTTTACCTTGCTCTGACGGACCCACGGCTCCGGGCTGAGTTTGCCATGGGCTTTTTCCAGAAGAGAGCTGTCCCGAACCTTGCTGGTGCGATCGGGAATGACCGAGTCCCAGTTTTGGGAATGAACCGGTTTGGGGATTCCCGAATAAAGGAAACCATAGGATATAGATGGTTTATATGGGTCATTCCATTCCCTCCTTACCAGCAAGAAAAGCAGTCAGTGGAGGGTGCTGCTGTCTCTAAGAACCTGTGCGACTGTCATGGTCTTGGACGAGAAAGCGCAGGCCCTGAAAAGGGTCTGGTGCCTTTTCGAGGCCGGAAGGAGAGTTTCGAAGATCTCGAGATACTCATCACTTGGGTTTCGGGTCCTGAAAATCCCGTCTTGGTACTACCCAAATTGGATTTGAAATTCAACAGGGAACCACCTCAGAAGTAGACATAACTTCCGCCCAAATGATGTCTAAAGGATTCCCCCATTAAGAGTCACACCCATTTGGGTTGACTGGCAGGTGCTGCAAACCTGCATCCTGTCCCAGAAGAAGCCAGGCTTCGAGGCTTGCTCCGTTTGCAGGTGTTCACCTGGACCGCAGAAAAGATCGCCCCCAGCTTTTGGGAGGAAAAGTAAAGAAACACAGACACTCATGGAAGTGGACGTTTTGGGACTTGCCCGAAGCTTTCGAATTCCAAGCCATGGCTTCCACGATTGGGAGCGCAACATGGAAAGGCCACATCTTCGGCGTTTCGCGAAATAGGGGTCTCCTAAAATGTTTACACTCCCTCAGAAGGCCTCTGCAAATGGAACCAAGTCTTCCAAAGAAAGGGGTCCGGGAGCTTCCATGCATGTTAGTCTCTGCGGGAGAGTAGTTTTCTGGTGGTTTCCCTGAAGATGCCAAAAAGAGGTCCGCCTTTCGGAGAAACACTCAAAGGATGTCTGGCAAATCGCCTTTCTCTCCGCCAGGGTCTGTTCCTGTGCACGCCCTCTGGAGTTCTGAACAAGGACGTGTGCGGGGTCCCCGATACGAGCTCACAAAACCCCGAACGAGCAAACACCCATAATGAAGGTCCTTGATTTGGGTGTGATTTTGTATCAGGGGACCTTTGGTGGACATCATTTAGGTGGGGATTCATGAGGTGGGTCCCTAAGACGGTCACAGCCATTTGGGGGTCGTTCTGATTTCCGTTGCAATTATTGTGATTTTGTGCCCAGATGGGTTTCATGCAACCGGAAACAAGCTGAAAGGCGTACTCCGCAGTTATTGCAAGGTGAACCCGACATAGAGGGAAGGCTTTCGCACGCTACTTCATGACACTGAGCTTTGGAATTCCCGTTTGAGGAATCAACGAAGGAGCGGCACGAAGGTTTTTTGTAGAAGTGTTTCAACCCAGCCTGTAACACATGTCAGCAAGTGACAAACATATTGGAAGTCTGCTGGTTTGGGGAGGAAGAGAAGGGTGGGACAACCCAAATTGTCCATGTCCTCTTGTGGAAAGAACTCAGTTTGTCCGGGGCTCATGTACCATTCTCGGGCACCCGCCAGGTTTTCGAATGCCCGGACTGACTTCTTTATTTTGCGCGCGCGTTTTCACGTTTGCAGGAAAGCGCCCAGTCAGATGGCTCTTTGAGCATCGACACCGCCATTGCCGTGGCAAGGAGTCTTCGTCACTTAAAGCTGGAGGACTGACGGGGTGCATTTGGCCAAGGGATGTTCGGACTACTCTTTGCCAACCAATGGGTTTGTTTTCCGTAAACCACTGAAAGTTATTCACTTTTAGAGGGGAGCAGAAAGCAACCGAGGTTTTGGTACCCTCATGGAAGTGGACACGCCTTTTCGAGAGGGTGGTAGAGTCTTCCGAAGCTTGGAAAAAGGGTACCTGGAGTCTCCATGACCCTTTAAACATGGAGTCTCCATGACGCTGTAAAAATGGGTCAAAGACCAACCATTATTTTGGGTAATGACCAACCGTTTATTAAGGGTCAGAGGGAGACTCCAGGCAGCTTGGTGGCTCCCAGCCATCCCCTTCGCTTTTTAGACTTTTAGTGGTAGTTTCCATTTATAATTTATCTCACTATTAGCAGGGGATCCGAGGGCGGCCCAGGTAGGTGTTTGGGTCACCCAGACGCTCATGGTCCCGTCAGGAGGCCAGCGCCACCAATCCTGCGGACAAAGTCATGATCGACGAGCTAGTGGAGCGATACCCTGGCAAGCACGAGGCCGTGTTTTTTTTTGTTAGAGGCTATGTTGTACCACCTTGACTGCATCGGTCCGTTCTGGGCCAGCGCGGCCTGTCCACTTGTTGGCGAAGCTGTCCATACTGCTGTGGAAGATGCGCAGCCTTGTGCATCTGCGTTTGGGTAACTGAAGTGTTGGATGTGGGTAGTTGATATTCAATCTGTGCTCCGTTCTTTGCATGGACTTCGAAAGGGTTGTGAGTTGTATAGAATCTGTGCTCCTTTCTTTGCATGGACTTCGAAAGGTTTGTGAGTTTGATAGAATCTGTGCTGCTTTCTTTGCATGGACTTCGAAAGGTTTGTGAGTTTGATAGAATCTGTGCTCCTTTCTTTGCATGGACTTAGAAAGATGTGTGACGAAAGCATCGGAGTTGTCCTAAACTATGCATAGCAATAGGCTAGGGTGTGGTGTTGCGGGGGGCCGAAACTGCTCGGGCCAGTTTCTGCTTTTGTAATTGCCAAAGCACCGAATCGATTTAGGAGGTTCCCCAGCAGGCCTCCAGGCAAGGGTTGTGGGCTCTATTCCCCCCGCACGCTGCTTGCCGGCTTTCGTTCCCACCTCGCTCAGGTCGTTTCTGTTGTTGGGTAGCACTCTCATGTATTCTTGCCCTGACACTTTCTCTATCCCTATTTGATTAATACTTATAAGTATGATATATATATATATATATATACGCCAGACGGTTCTGCTCTGTTCATTGTTTGCATGGCGGTGCACCGACCTTTTTCGTCGACTGCTTTTGCTCAATCCGTCAATCCCAGGGGCGCTGTCGATCGGTTCCGCTGGGGACACTTGAGCTTGTTGACCCCCGTCCTACCGTGGATAGATGAAATCCGTTCGCACCACTTGGAAGCCATGCAAAAACAAGGTTCGTTGGTATTTGCAGGGGAATCGAATCATTCCAGGGTTTCTGAGGTGGTGCAGGATTTCGTCCATCCACAGTATGATTAGGGTGTTCCCTCTAAAATTAATGAATCCCACCAAGAGGGAGCACCCCCCCTACTCATCAACCAGGGGTTTGTGAATCTGGGGTCAACACGTTTTTTTGCGACACCGAAGGTTGGAAAGGAACCGCTACTTTTGTCCTCGCCTTTCGCTGCTTTCGCCAGGGTCCCTCAAAGGATGCATTGGGGCCAGTGACAAAAAATCACCTTTGCCATCTGATTCGGGGGGAAGCAGGCGATGTTTGGACGTGGGTGTCAAACAATTATTTAAAAACAAACAAAAACAACGACCCATTCTACACCCCCATCCCGGACCCAGACGTCCAGGCCATGAATCGCTTCGTGCGGCGCCACATCCGGGATGCCCTGAATTTGATCAGGGAGCACCACAACCAGACATTCGCTTGGCTCCTTCGGGCCGGGAGTTCCGATTTCCGAGTTCGGAGTTCCGAGTTCGGAGTTCTGCTGCAGATGGACCCAATGCATTTCGCGCCACGAGATGAAACCATGACTGAACCCAATACTGTTGTTATGGTATTTACGTTGGGGGATCGATTTGGAAACCATGGTTTCTGAACGGTGCGAAATTTGATGTCGTCCACAGTCTGGTTTGCGGAAGCCGCCTTGCCAGCTTCGACACATGGCTGTGGGTCAAAACCAATGGTACATTTTTGGGTAGGTGCACCACCCGTTTTAGTCCATTTTAGTGGGGATTGGGATGTTTACTGGGGGTATGGGATTTTGTCCCATGGCCACATGGGTGATTAATACCAGAAACTCAAAAAAACCCAAGTCAGCCGAAGCAAGACGAGAACCTTGACTCTTTGGAACTCTTCAGCTCCATGTTATCATCCCCCGGTTCCTGGAGAGATCCACGTGGGGTGGGGTTTTTTGCCTGGCATTCCGGGGGATTCCCTTGGTGCCCCAAACCAATCATAGCCGCGAGGCAGGTTCCCGCCGTTTGTTTTTGCCTATGAAAGGTTCTAGGGTTGCTTCGCGGAATGGAAAGTCATGTTTATCTGGAGTCTCCTTCTGACCCTTGAAACATGGTTGGTCATTACCCAAAATAATGGGATCACTACCCAAAAAAACATGGGGGCATTACCTAAAATACTGGGCGCATTGCACAAAAGAATGGTTGGTCATTACACAAAAGAATGGTTGGTCATTGACTTTGCTTTGGGTCAGATCCGGAGACTCCAGGAATCCAAGCCCTGTGCTTCCAGTGTAAAATCTCGAATTTATAGGTAAGAAGCCTTGAGTACTTGTGGTTTAGCAGTGGGAACGGGGGCAGAAGGCCTGATTTCCAGTGGTCATGGACCCAGGGGCTATGGGAGGTGGGACTAGCCCAGGGTCAGCCCAGAAGGCCTGAGAATGCTTAAGCTATTCGGGGTGAAGGGGGTTACCTCCCCGGCCCAGGGTCCATGTGGGGCAGCCCCACTCTCTTGACCCATTTCAGGAGCTGGAGAGGTCTGAGCGCTCCGAAAGTGGTCCTCTGGCACCAGGCCCCCGCCTCCTGAGTCGCATCTCTATCGCATCGGAACGTCATCGTTGGGTTTTTTTGTGGTAAAGATATCAGTCAGGGGTTGACATCATACTCTAAATGAGGGCAGTTGGAATAGTGTTTGACCCTCGGGTTGGGCGATTCGACCGCTTTGAACATGTTTATGCTCCTTCCAAACGTGGATGTGGACAGGAAGGTTCTGGAAGACCATATGATATTATGTGGCAAAGGGCCCCCTTTTCCACTTTTATTGCTGGGAAAAGGCTGTTGGTCTAAATATAAACAAATATTTGTCCAACCCTGGAACCTCCTAAAATGAAGGGGGGGGGGAGAGGTTGGTTCCACATGCTTCCCCGACTTCTCAAAATGGCTGAACCTCCCATTGTTTTGTCTAAACCTCCTAAAATGGGGGGGGGGGGGGAGGTTGGTTCAACATGCTTCCATGACGTGTCCATTCTTTTGTTTAAACTGGCCGGGGGGGGGGGGGGGGGTCGTTTGGGATTCTCTTCATTGCAACCCACTACTAACATGGCACCTGTGCGGGGTTTTTTGGAAGATTCGTGTCCTTTTGAGGGGCTCCGCCCCTGTCAGTTGCCATGTTAGTTGGAGGGAGGGTACCCAAACTGCCCCATTTGCGGCCCAAACGATTGGAGCCTGCGGCCAAGGCCGCAGTTTCAATGGCTTGTCCGTTGCCCATTGTTCAGGGCAGAAATGGTCGCATTTGAGCACGGCTCCTTAACAGATACCCTTTGCAACAATTTGAAACATGTTGTTTTTTCAACACCAGAAAAAAGGGAAACCACCATTTACAAGTTGCAATGTTCAGGTCTATAATGTAAGGATCCTGTTGAGTCTTGTTTTCTTGTGTGATTGTGTGCGTGTTGGTTTCATGACTGAATCTGGTCTGTGTGTGTGTTTTTCTCCTAGCTGGGTTGGTTGGTTGGTTGGTTGGTTGGTTGGATGGATGGATGGATGGTTGGTTGGTTGGTTGGTTGGTTGGATAACTCAGCAAATTGCCATAGCCTATTGCCATTGCTTTTCTTGCTTGTTCAACGGGACTGCCCTGGACCATCGGGAAGAAGCAACGCATCATCCCTGGCCCTGGAGCTTGTCCTTCGCGCGAGTTGTTTTTGTTGACAAGCGCCTATGCATGCCTCCTTGTATTCTTGTTCCGCGCGGCAGTGGTCTATGGGGGAACAGGGGGGTTGCGAAATCTTCCAGCAAACACTGGACACTCTATCTATACCATACATATCCAGCTTGTGATGTGATTGAAAAAGTCAGCACGCTTTGAGGCCTCCCAGCGCTTCATGGCATTTCTTTGGCATTGTCCAGCTTTCGTAGATCCAGTTACCCTTTTTCGTAACCAAGAGAACCAGCCGCAATGGTTGGTTACCTACTATGGGGGTACCTGGGATCTGGGCAATGGACACAGCAAGTTTCTTTTGCTTCTCGCACTTTTGTTGGGGTTGCTCGACTTCCGCAGTGCGGGCACTTCACAGTTCTTGGCATTTTTAGTTCCTTGTCACACAGTTCTTGGCATTTTTAGTTCCTTGTCATGGTTGGTTCTCTTCATGTTTAGTCTGTTGGGGGGGCAACGTCACCGGATCCATGCAAACATCCACGTGTATCGGTTCCCTTTAAAGCAGCCTTCACACAGGTCCCGCGTTTTTTCTCCACCTCAACCCGAGGGTCACTAGAAAAGGGTACATTTCAGAGCAGAACAAATATGAAACAGCATTTGAGGATCTTCTTGTGTGTAACCCAGATGTGGGCCAGGTCGGCCACGTGTTTAATGGGGCGCCAGGGATGAGTCGCGCTCCGCCCATCTTCCCGACCATGCCGGTGACCAGCGTGTCTCTGTCCTCCCTCCCCAGCGGCAGCTCTCGAGGCGCCGAACGCCGTCTCCATGTCACTCCCAGCGGATCCCAGTTTCCCCTATTCATGTCCCCCTGAACTGGTGGAGAGGTCCAAGCCACCAAAGCAAACCACCAACTAGGGGTAGGGTGGCCAAAAGGTACGCCCTGACAAGTAAACCCCAAGTGATTCATCAAGGGGGTTCCCCTGAAAGGAATCCCCACGAAGGATTTATCTCCTAATGAAAAAGTGGCGGGTTTTTTTGGCTGGTTCCTTTGGTTGCCTACGATTTCTGACATGGATCCACTGGGACCGGTCTACGATTTGTTTTCTTCTTCGGGGACGGAGAAGCCCTGTGCCGTTTATCGGTCCATTCCATGAAACCGGACATTTTTCTTAGACCACACTCCAAAATGTCCTCCAGGTTGAGATGGCCCATGTCTACAAACGCCCCATGTGGCTGTGGGTCAAAAGTAGGTGCCCTAAATGAAGCCCTGGTACATGGAACCAATAAGACCGCGGTCCAATTCCTGGTGCCCATGGAAACGGAAGCCAACTACTTTGCGGGACCCGAACCCCATGTTTGAAGCGTTGGCTCAGGTCTCACCTCGAGGCGTCTCTGAAACAATTGCGAAGTTTCCTCTGTTTCAGGGGAAGCCAACTGGACAGCAGCCATTGGCTGTGGATACCAATGGGATCACCCATTTTAGAACCTATTTTAGTGGTTGGATTGGGATGTTCACTGGGGGTACGGGAGTTTGACCCATGGCCATTTGGTTTTTGCTCCCCTATAGTGGGAAGCACCCATTTTTCGCCTTGCCGCCCAGGAGATGGCCACATGTGAGGTGTGTTGACCCGAACGGTTCATGTTTTTTGGGGGGGCAGAAAGACATCAGCGAGCGGTGCCGTGTGCAGAACCGGCTTTGGGCATATGGTCACTCGGACAGTCGAACATAGTAAGCTCAGGTGACATCCCCAACAGCATGCGGTGCTCTTTTTAGTGCTCGCCCCACCCCGCAGCCCTCGCAGAACCTCGTGGAACCCTGGTGGAACCCTGGTGGAACCCTCGTGGAACCTCGGCTGTTGGGGTCCTAGCCCTGGGCATGTCATAATATCTGCAGTCCACCAAATACAAACAACCAAAAGATAAGACCAAAGGCTCCCGTTAAAGCCAGGCAACCCTAAGGTCAAGGGCCGACAATTCGATGCCGTGCGAGGTCACATGAGTCAGAAGTCTTTATCATCCGTGTGCCCGTCTGGACATCTTCTGGAGCCCAACGGGGAGGCCTGCCGCAAGCAGAGCTTTTGAAAACCTTCAACTTGACCCAGTGCTTCCAGTTACGATCAGCAGGTAACCAGAGAAATCCATCATGTAAAACCTAGAGCTAAGCAGCCCCTCAAGGGTTACCTGCCTATAGTGGCTTTCGTGGCTTGCATGGATAGGTAAGGTTGCCGGTGGTCAATGGCCCGCACCTGTTCTCCGACAAAAAAGGGAGTGTGATCCCTTTGGGAATTGGGCGGTCGGGAATGTTGACCCCAGATGAATCAACCAACCAGTTTATGAAATTCGGGGGGGGGGGGGGGGTGCTTGCCCCTCCAAAAGTGTTCTGAGTCCAACCACCTGTCACCCAGGGAAAAGCACTCCACCCAATAAACATTTGATTAGTATGGGGTTAACATCAAGTCGCCAGGACAGCTCCGGTTCCTCAAGTGAAAGCGAGCACTTTGTAGCGCCGCGTCCAAAGTGACGCGCAACGCGTGTAAGCTTAGCCAACGCGGCGCATGCCCCATGGGCTGTGTCTTGATCGTTTATTGGGGCGTTTGACGCTTGCGGTTACGGCCAAAATGGGCCGACAGAAACCACCCAGAAGGCCTGAATTGACCAGCGCATCAAAAAGGGCGACGTCGACAGGGGAGTTGGCCGCAAGTGCAGCCCGCAGCCCGCAGTTGAAGTTATCACCGGCTCTCGACACGTCGACTTGGTCTGAACATGATTTGGCCAGGCTTTAGAAGAGCCCAAGCCTGAGACGAAGGCAGGGTGCCAGGTGGTTTTCTGCTCATTTCGCTACAGGAGCCATGGTCAGAACCCATTGCTTCCATGGTCAGAACCCTTTTGCTTGGCCTCCATCAAGGAAATAGATTCCTATTGCGGGAACCCGGAACATGGCCGACAGAAGGCGTTTTGACTGGGGAGGTGTTCAAAAAATGATGGCCTTTGTGTCGAATGGTGCATCAAGGGAAACCCACTGGTTGTTTTTCAGGTTGCTTCAGGGGAGACGAACAAAGGGAAGTTGACGCCATTTTTCGGACACCCAAATCAGCAAGATTCGCATCCGCCCCTTCGGTTAGGAAGGCGTGCAGCGGTGCAGAGGGAGAACTCTAGCCGACGGCACGGAAGGGCCACCCTGGCGCGCTTGCCGGTGGCTGGGGCCATGCACTTGTTTAAACATGTGAAGCAAAACATACACTATTATTTATTTAAACAACATCCTTTTGGCTTCCATTTAAAGGAGACCAGTTCGTTGTTCAAGCAAATCTTGCCAAAGCCTGATGGCAGGAGATGTGTTGAACATCCATTCTCAGTTGCTTAGGGAAATCACCAGCCAGCTAGCAGATTTCGTCATTGGCACTTGCCAGTGTTTGAGGGATGGAGGAACAGTTGCCAGACAATCCCTCATTTCAGCAATGAGCATGCGACGTGCCCATTGGGAGGGACCATCCAACTTTCACATCAGCGCCCCCTCAACATGTTGCTATAAATCGGTGCGACAAGGAAGCGCAAGGGTTTTGGGTGGAGTCTTTCAGTCCATGTCTCGATTGCAACTCGCGTTGAGATATTTTTTCCCCACGTAAGGAGAAGCTTTCATGTTAGAGCTTGGATTCGCAACCCATTGCCGCATTCTCGGCATTGTCTTGGGTTGGACACCCTCGGAGCTTTTTTCGTGGGCCATGTAACTTTTGAGGGGTCCAATGGAATTTCCCGCGAAAAACATCCTTTCCAACCTGTTCGCCGTCCCATGAAAAAGGCAACATCGAGCTCAAGCAGGTTTGGGGCTAGCCCAAGCCAGGTCAAGTGAAGCGAGTGAGTCGAGTTCGTCAGGTGGTTCACTCTCACCAAGTCCTTCGTGCCCTGGTCGCCGGCCTACAAGTGCGTTTCAAGGCCCGTGATGGCACTGGGCACGCGGCACGCCCCAAGAACGGCACTCGCTCGCTCAGCAAAAGGTTCCAAAAAGGCCGCCAGCAGAATTTTCCACTTTTGGACTAGGGGTAGCTTGTTTCCCCGCTTTTCATTCCTACCCTAGGGGCAGCTTGTTTCCCCAAAAGGAGAACATGTGGGTTTAAGTCCATCGGGTAGTCAAAAGGTGGGGATTCCTGGCCACCAGAGACAAGTGTGTGTGTGTGTAGGTTCCGGTCTCGAACCGATTTTTATTTGTTGGACGTGCAGTACCCAAAAACTTAGGCCGTGAGCTCAGTGAATATGGTGCAGAGGACGTCACCAACTCAAAACTGCTTTTGAGGAGCGAATCAGTTTTGGTATCAGCAAAGAAAAGCTGGCCTCCTAGCTAATCTCCACGCCCGAAACACAATCCGTTGGGCTCAAATGTCTTTTTCGAGTCTTTTGTGCACAGCTCAAGCCAGTTGTCGCGGTAGAAATAAATCGAGGAACTTGATTGATCATGTTTTGACCGGTAGTGCACTTCGGCGATTCGTAATCAGGGGAGGCCCAGCAAGCTTTCCTCCAAAACACCTGAACCTGTGCTCGATGTTCCAGTGGTAACTTGGCAAGCACATTAATTTAGCTTGCAAATTCGCAGTTCTGAAGCCAGCTTTTTGCCTTTGGGGAGTAATTGCAACTAGTGTAGTCGCTGACTTTTTCCAGGTGCTTCAAATGAGCCGTGTTCTTACTGGTTCTCATCAGGAAATGAGGGAATGACCCCTATTAACTGCACTATGAACCATCCCTGGCGTTTCGTTCCAAGCCCCTTGAAGTTCCCTCCTTGGAACCAACTAAGTTTGTCCTTTCCGCCATTGGGTGTGTCTTGGCTTGGGGAATTTTCTTTGGTTTTGAAGGGAAGGCAAGAGGAAATTCCGTGCCATTTTGGGTCAGACAGACTCCCCAGGACTTTTGAACCCAAGGGCTGGTTTCCTGGAGTTCAGCCAGATTGCCCTGCATGTCCAACCTGAAAACATATCACTTCATATCACCACCAAAGACTTTCAGAGAGTCTCACAAAAAGAGAAGCCCAAAAGGGAGCTTCATCGCCATCTCGACGATTCGCAGCACTGTCCTGAACAATGGCTTGGAGATCAAAGAGGCAAAGACACTGCGAAAGCTCGCCCGCCTCTCAGAGCCGACCCGAGCCGATTGAAAGCGACCGCCGGGAGGACTTTCCGAGCGGGTGAATCGTTTGTTGGGGTTTGAAGGGTTGTTCGAGTCAGGGGCCCCGGTTTGTTTATGGTTGTTTGGCTCCTTGCTTGTGTCTTAATTAATTGTTTCTTTGTTGTTCGTTTGGTTTGTCTTGAATTGTTCTGTTCTGCTTTGCGTCTTGTTTGTTTGTTTGTTTGTTTGTTTGTTTGTTTGTTTGTTGGTTGGTTGGTTGGTTGGTTGGTTGGTTGGTTTTCTTTGACCTTTTCCTCGCGTGGCAGCGACTCGCATACGCGCCCGCGCGAGCGACTGATTGAAGGAGCCTGGGGAGATGTTGGAGGCGATAGATACGCCCGTCCTGGAGCCTTCCGCAGGCTTGGGGCAGTCGGGCCATGGCAGCAATTGGGGGTGTGGCTTTCCCGTTTGGGGAACCCCCTCAAAGGTTGGTATTAATAGGGAAGCCAAAAGGACAGCTGAAATCCATTGGTTTTTGTTTTCTTGGGGAACCCCTTTTTAAAGGTATTAGTTATAATGAAAAAAACAAAAACAATCAACTGACATCCATTGCAGGGTTCCCCATAAAGGGTGTTGGTTCATTTTGACCGCAGGACGGTGGGCATGGGAGTCGAACCGCCTCACAAGGGAACGGGCTTGGGTTTTTCTTCAGCGGGGAAAGGTGTGGCGCTTTTTGTTGGGAACCCCTTTTTGGTTGGTTGTAATAGGGAAGCCAGGAGTTAAAAGGAAAACTGAGATCCATTGTTGTTGTTTTTTTTGGGGGGGAGGGGAACCCCTTTTGGTTGGTATTAATAGGGAAGCCAAAAGGACAGCTGAAATCCATTGGTTTTTGTTTTCTTGGGGAACCCCTTTTTAAAGGTATTAGTTATAATGAAAAAAACAAAAACAATCAACTGACATCCATTGCAGGGTTCCCCATAAAGGGTGTTGGTTCATTTTGACCGCAGGACGGTGGGCATGGAAGTCGAACCGCCTCACAAGGGAACGGGCTTGGGTTTTTCTTCAGCGGGGAAAGGTGTGGCGCTTTTTGTTGGGAACCCCTTTTTGGTTGGTTGTAATAGGGAAGCCAGGAGTTAAAAGGAAAACTGAGATCCATTGTTGTTGTTTTTTTTGGGGGGGAGGGGAACCCCTTTTGGTTGGTATTAATAGGGAAGCCAAAAGGACAGCTGAAATCCATTGGTTTTTGTTTTCTTGGGGAACCCCTTTTTAAAGGTATTAGTTATAATGAAAAAAACAAAAACAATCAACTGACATCCATTGCAGGGTTCCCCATAAAGGGTGTTGGTTCATTTTGACCGCAGGACGGTGGGCATGGAAGTCGAACCGCCTCACAAGGGAACGGGCTTGGGTTTTTCTTCAGCGGGGAAAGGTGTGGCGCTTTTTGTTGGGAACCCCTTTTTGGTTGGTTGTAATAGGGAAGCCAGGAGTTAAAAGGAAAACTGAGATCCATTGTTGTTGTTTTTTTTGGGGGGGAGGGGAACCCCTTTTGGTTGGTATTAATAGGGAAGCCAAAAGGACAGCTGAAATCCATTGGTTTTTGTTTTCTTGGGGAACCCCTTTTTGGTTGGTTGTAGGGAAGCCAAAAGGAAAACTGAAATCCATTGGGTTCCCCGCTATATCAAACAAAAACACAGACACCCAGATGGACCGTTTCTTTCACACGTTCCTGTGGGAAGCCCAGAAACATCGCAGATTTCGGAACACAAGGTTCAGCTACCCCATAATTGGTGGTGTGGCTTGGTGGTTTCTCTACCACTAAAAGGGTTGCTAGGGATATGTATTGGAGTGTAATAAGGTGAACACCCTCCAACAAATGAAGGCGAGTCTTCGCAGCTAAGGATTCTGATCGCGCATTGCGCGGGCAAGTCTTGAAACGAAGGCCGCACGAAGCCTAAAACGAAGCCCTTTTTCACAGAAAGTTGTGTTATGTGAACATTGGCTCTGTTGAATTGCGGTGGGAGGAATAATCATTACAGGAAGACTACAGCGAGACCACGAAGAGACTACAAGATTACATTCAAAAAGCACCAAACGAAGGCGAGTCTTCAAACCGAAGGACCATTCCAGTTTGGCGCAGGGTTTTGGCGGCTCATTTTCAGACGCCCGCTGCGCGCCGTTCTGCTTTTTCCAGACAGCTGTTCGAAGCCGGGCTCGGGGAGAGCCGCAGGCGGGATTTTTCGGCCAGGACTCCTCAGATTGAAGCTGCGGACCCAGGACCTGACTGCAGGGCCTGGGAGTCTGGCGGCTCTCAGGGCTTCAACTGGCGGAACCCTCCCGGGAGAAATTCTCGGCTGGGAAGACCGGGGCTTAAGCCATGGCTCGGAGTGGTGGCTCAACTCTGAGTCCAAGTTGGAAAGCACTCCACGC